GGAAGTGACGCGGCGCCGCTCGGTGAGGGGCGGGGTCGCGCCGTTCCATTTCTCTTCCGGCCTGGGCGCCATCGCGGCGGAGCTTCGGTGAGTGCGGGCGGGCGCGGGATCCGTCGCCATCCGCGGGGGTGGCGGCCGGGGCGCGGCGCGGGTCCGCCCTGACTGCCGGCTGCTGCCTCCGCAGAGATGGGGAAGTTCATGAAACCGGGGAAGGTGGTGCTGGTGCTGGCCGGCCGCTACTCGGGGCGCAAGGCCGTCATCGTGAAGGTGAGCGCGGGGCTGAGCCGGCGGGGGAGCGCCSAGCGCGGGTGCTCGGGGTCCTGCGGGGCCGGGCGGGAGCCCGGGGGGCGGAACGGGCGGGGTTCCTGCGGGGCTCCTCGRTGCCATCGCCGCCGCGGCCCTGTTGGTTTCAGAACATCGATGATGGCACCTCGGACCGGCCCTACAGCCACGCCTTGGTGGCYGGCATCGACCGCTACCCGCGGAAGGTGACTGCTGCCATGGGCAAGAAGAAGATCGCAAAAAGGTCCAARATCAAGTCCTTCGTGAAGGTTTATAACTACAACCACCTGATGCCCACCCGGTGAGTKCAGCCACGGAGGTACTGCTGCCGGCAGGGCTGGAGGAATCTGGGCTGCTTTTGTGGTTCTTGTATTGTCTGTTGAATATTGGGAGTCATCAAGGCTATTAATGCTGTGGCTGAATGAATGTGAGGCTCAGGCTCTGCAAAAACAGAGAGTTGGGGGTCTGAAGCCGAGTGGAAATATKAATGAACTTTTGGAATGAAGCAGCTGGCTCTTATGTCAGCTATACTGATCTTCCCTTTGCTTGGAGGTATTACCAGATGAGCAGTTTAGGACAGCTYTGAGGGTGTAGGGCTGGCAGAGCCATTTTGTATTGTGCCTCAGAACTCCTAGAGCAGCTCCCATGCTCCACATCAAACAGAGCTGCATATTCCTCAAGAAGCATGTGGCTGTCCCCTTTACAGGCTGAACTGGGACTGCTTGAGTGGCTTAGTGATTCCTCAACTGAGGAGATTTTACCAGCTGTAGCTACTTGACCTGTGCCTAATATGAGCATTTGACTGGTCCTGGCTCTGCTTGGTTTTCAGCCCTGTGCCAGGTACCATGCCTCTTTCAAACCATTCTGCTCTCTTGCCCAGGTATTCCGTGGATATTCCCCTGGACAAAACAGTGGTCAATAAGGATGTGTTCAGGGATCCTGCTCTGAAACGCAAAGCAAGACGCGAAGCCAAGGTGAAATTCGAGGAAAGGTGAGTTGGGAGCTCATCTCTTCAGTGGTGCTGGTGCTCATCCTAAGGGTGAAGACTCGTGTGGCTGTGCCACAGCCTGTGAATCTCCAAATTAGCCCTTCTGCCCCAGCTTCCTTGTGTGCTCGTTTGTTGTGTGAGTTCTTTTCACCTYGCCATGTGCCAGTGTGTGCGGGGCCTTTCAGGTGCCACAGGATGATCTGATAACATGCTGCCAGTTCATCCTCTCCTCACTGGGCTGGGTGGGCCAAGGCAGTGCTGATTCTTTGGGTTCTTGGTTTGCTGATCTTCCTTTATGAAGCTCTGAAGAGTTGTGTGGCCTCAGTGGGACACAGTGTCTTGGGCAGCCCCTGAGCTGTTCCCTAAAGCCATGTCCTGGTGACTGCTCTCCATGTGTGGTATCTGGCAGGTCGCTTGTGCCTGTTGGGGTGGAAACTGCCACAGTGCAGGTGTCCTTCATGAGAAATCTGGAATCTTGCTTCCCTTGGAATTTCAGTGTTTAAAAGTGGGTTTAGTTGTAGCTCAGGCCAAAGAGACCAGGTGAATTGCCTTTGGGTGAGCTGGGTGCTTCATTCTGTCTGTCTAGGATAGCTGAGGTATGGGTTTGGAGCTGTTACCTACTAGTACAGATCCTTCTCTAACCCTGTGTGTTCTCTTTCAGGTACAAAACCGGCAAGAATAAGTGGTTCTTCCAGAAGCTGCGATTCTAAGGGTGTAACAAGGTTGCATCAATAAATGTTTATTAAAATCCATGTTTTTTAGTTATTTAACAAACAATCAGTGGTCTTTGTGATGTGGTATTGCTTGCTCTGTGTCTCTGAGAGCTGGGAAAGTCATTGCAGTCCAGGTGAGCATCAGCGTGTTTGTGGAGCCTTGTACAGCCCGAGCCTTGGGTGCAATTGTGTCACCTCTGGGACTGTGGGGACAGGGCTGTGCCTCTTCCCTGAGGTGCAGGGTGGTTGATGTTCCTGCCACAGTGGAATTCTCTTGCTCCTAAAATTGTGGTGATTCTTGTGAGAGGAAGGGAAATGGGTAATTCCAGGTGTTTGCTGAGTGCACGAGGATTTGTGTGGTGACTGACCTGTGGGTGTGAGATTTTAGGTTCCCAAATGGGGCAATGCTGGCTGCTGGCCACCCGGGCAGCAGGGGCTGGGTCGGGGTGTAAATCCAAGAGTGGGGCAGGAAGATGTTATTTCTGTATTAGCATGTCTATTCCTGGCAGGGCGAGTGGGAGCTGCGGGAAGGCGGGTTAGACGGTGCGGGGATGGGGAGGGGAATTGGGGTGGAGATGGGGTGTCGGGCGGAGCTGGGCGGGCCCGGCTTTCCACCGCCCTCGGGGGGAGCCGGGGCGGGGCGAGACCACGAAATCGAAAGCAAAAGGCGGCAGCAGGGAGCGGGCAGTGAGAGCGGTTCCCGGCGGGCCGGGCAGGGCAGAGCTCCCCGAGGGACCGGCGCTCCGCTCCGTGCGCCGGCAGCACCGCAGGGATGGATTCGGAGGAGGTGAGGACGAGCTGAGCCGCGGGGAGCTGCGGGCCGGGGGGCGGTGCAGTGAGGCTGAGACCCCTCCTTCTCTTTAGGACTCGTTCATCCGGCTGCTCCCCCAGGAGGGSCCGCAGGATGGCGGCTCGGAGAGCCCCGAGCAGCTCCGGCTGGAGATCGAGCGGTGCAAGGTGGGTCCGGCTGAGAGGGGTTTGGTCGGCCCGGTCCCAATGCCCAGGATCTGCCCGATTGGCCTTGGCYGGGAGCTGGAGTGTCTTTGGCTGTGAGTCAGAGGTGGCAGAGAGGAGGAATCCCGTGGAGAAGGGAGCCTGTTCTAGGATCCAGGCTCATTCCCAAAGGCACAGCCTGTGCCAGGGCTGAGTGGCTGGTGGGGTGGCACAATGTCGGCAGGGTGTTCCTGTCTGATGGTGCTTTTCACAGGAGCTTTATAGTGCYCTGGAGCAAGACCGTGCCAAACTACAAATGGTCAAGGAAGCTGTAGATGCAAGGATACAAGAGCTGAAGAAAGAAGAACTTAATAAAATGTTTGAACAACAAATGTCKTTAACTGGAGATATAGAGAGAGCCCACCAGGTTGGTGTTCAGTGGATGTGTCTTAGGCTTGGGAGGGTGGCAGGGGGTGCAGGGGCTGCATCACGCAGGTCACAGCTCTGAGATCACTTGCTGAATGGTGTGGCTGGAGCCCAAGAACAGTGCTGTGCTCAGGAGTGTACTGCAGCCCCTCGTGTCCTGGTGTTCCCTACTGCCCACTCTTTCCTTCCAGATTTTTGCAGCAAAAGATGAGAACAACAGACTGAGGCAGGAGAAGCAGTTCCTGAAAAATAAAGTGGATGAATTGAAGAAGCGGGTCCTCTGGAATGATCCTGTGATGGTAACAGAATGTGTGTGGGCACTYGGGGCTGCTGGCAAGGGCACAAGCCTGGCTGGAGAGGCTGCAGCCAGGCACTGTGTGATGACTGGAACAACTGCTAGCAGGTGGCCAGGACTGCCTAGGGATTCCAGGCACAGTCAGACCCTAGAGGAGACTCTGCTGAGGTTTCTCTGTTGTTTATTTGAGCCATGAGTTTATTTCTAGTCTGTGGATTGGCAGGGACACGCCCTGTGCAGTGTCCAGTCTCCTCCAGGTGCTGTCTGTACTTGAACCTAGATGCTGTCTGCCTTGCCGGAAAAGAAAATGATCTTTAAGGGACACATAGCAAACAAGGAGGACATGAATAAGCTGATGCTCACCCCACTGATCCACTACCCTCTGCCGGGGGGCTCTGCTCTCGTCACCTTTGAGGAGGCAGAGGGTAAGTGTGAGAAGAGCACTGCCCTGTGCCAGAGTTTGGTGCTGCCCCTCCACCTGCCTTGTGTCCTGCCCTGCAGAGTGCTGGGAGGGGACAGTCACTCACCTGTGCTGGGGGCTCTCCCTGCTCACAGTGGCCCAAAGGATCATCGAGATGAGGGAGCACATGGTGGAGCTGAACTGTGGGGAGGAGCTGGAGGAGCTCGACTGGTGCAGAGTGCGAGTGCAGGCAGTGCCAGTGGAGATACTGCTGCCGTCTGCCCTGGAGGTGGGAATCCCTGCTCCCCTGGGCACACTGCCAGCCCTGCTCAGTGCCACTCCCCCGAGCTCTGGGGCCAGTCCTGCCCTGGCACTGAATGGCCGGTGTCACCACAGATCAGGCTGACACAGAACAGCAGGAGCATCCTTGTGTCTGACTTGCCCAGCCTGGACATGTCGAAGGATGACCTGCTGGACAAGCTGGAGCTCTTCTTCAGCAAGACAAAGAATGGGGGCAGCGAGGTGGAGAGCAGGGAGTTCCTGGATAACTCCAGCCAGGTGGTGCTGACCTTCGCACAGGATGGAGGTGCRTGGGGTGTGCTGAGCTTTGGGTGGCTGGCAAGCGTGGAGCAGCCCAGCCTGCTCTGGGGGGTAATCTGAGGGCAGATGGAGCTGTGTTTGRGGATCAGGGAAGGTGGAATGAGCCCCAGGCTGTCCTGCCTCCCCGAAAAGCTGGGTAGTGTCAGCCTTGGTGCCAATGCCAGGGACATAATCTCCCCTGAAGCTTGCCAGGGCAGCTCAGCGCTTTCCTCTCCCTATGCAGTGGCAGAGCGGCTGATCGAAAAAGGACATACCCAGGCATTTATTAAAGGAGGAGAATACAAAGTCAAAATATCACCATGCATGAATGGAGACATCACTAAGCTGCAGGTAAGGGCACGAACCCTTTTCAAACAGCCGGGCTGAGGCAGCACAGGTGCAGGGGGCTCCTGCAGCCCCTCTCCCTGTGCTCCTCTGCCGCTCACCCCCTGCTCTGCCCAGCTCCAGCCCTCCCGCTGCCCCAGGACTGTCCTGCTCTTGGGCATCCCCGATGTGCTGAGTGCGGAGTCCATGAGGGACACCCTGGAGATCCATTTCCAGAAGGCCAGCCGCGGCGGCGGGGAGGTGGATGCCCTGGCCTACGTCCCGGCAGGGCACACGGGGGTGGCCGTGTTCGTGGAGGACACGGGTTAGTCCCGCTCAGCAGAGCCTGAGGAGCTCCGTGCGTCCGTTGGGCACAGCGTTAATTAAAGCATCTGTTGGGAGCAGCGTGTGTGTCGTGTTGGGAACGGCCGGGCT